TTATGCTGAAGGAAAATTTGTGAAAAACAAGTTCATTTGAGCAACATCAACAACATGCAATTAACAATTAAAGGCGGAATCATGCTTGTATGCACTTAAAAACAAAACATTTACCCATGAAATTCAAAGCCTAGTAGATAGGTGAACCAAGACTCAACTCAAAACAAAGTGAGTTGAGAAATCAATACCTTTGTAGATTCCTCTTTGCATAAGCAAAGGCTAATCACCCAAAGAGAGGGCCTTCATTCCTTGCATCTTAGATCCATGGATTTGGATGGATGAAAAGGTTTCTCCAAGTTCCCAAAATTGAGAACCTCTAATGATTCATCACCAAGGCATAATGAAGAAGAAATGAGTGACCTTGGAGGAGTTTGATTGCTAGATGATCCCTCCAAGGTTGGCCGAAATTTTAGAGAGAAAGGAGAGCTTGTGTTCTCATCCTTTCCCCCAAAAATATCCCTTAATGAATTTTGGCTATTAAGTCATACTTATTCCTTAATTCATTTGAGTGGCAAACTTGTAAATAAGTCCAAAACCACTCCTTCTCTAACATGGCCGGCCTAAGGGGATTTATTGGGCTATTTGGGCCTTTGTGAATCATTATTCATTAAGTTGTCATACAACTTAAGTCAATGGACTTGACGTTCGAAGCCCATTAGGCCTTAAGATCCAAAACTATCCCGAGGTCTTTTAACGAACTTATTCGTTTGATTAATTAGCATATTAATTAATCCTTGCCATTGGATAAATAATTAAACCATTTAATTATTCTTACTCATCTCCGTTGTTTCTTCAAACTCTACCTTACTCGGTGAACGATCCATTAGATTCCTTTTAGCGAGGCAGTGGGCGATTAAAACTCTTTCTAATCGATTGTGAATTGAAACTTACTTTCAATTCTCCCGTTAGTGATAATATACTTTTAGGGCTTCCACAAACCATGGTTGACGCCTAGCAGCATGTCATGGTTACCCAAGCTAATCAGAAGAGGTGGAGAACCTATTCAGTTTTAGGATTACAAATGCAATACGGTCTTTCTCTAATACAATACTCTTGACCACATTGTTTGGTTTGATAGTTTATTCATGTCTACTATCCAATGTGAGTCTTGTGCTTATATGATTACCTTAAATGTGATTTGGAACATATTCCTAAATCTCATTCATACTTTGGCCAAAGATTCTTAATCATATCATAGAGTATTCTCCCTCAAACAGTTTGAAGGTTAGAGATCCCTTGTTGCGCATTCACTTGCCTTCATGGCTAAGTGGCTTAACCCCAACGATGCCTTGGACACCCTCCTGATGGAGTGACTTTGACATAATCAAAGATTAAGGACCTAACCACAAGACAACTGTGATGCCTCAGGTCAAAAGACTAATTTGCATTATCCCAACCATGAGTTCTCATGTGACATGAATATGAGAACTCTTCGTTGATCGTGTTCAGTGAACTCATTCTCTATTGAGCACCTACGTACTTGTCTTGATGTCATACACACCAATGACTCAAGACTAGTCACTCTCCCTGAGAGAAGACATAGCACGTACTGATCTTAACGGACTGTCAATGCCCAATTGACAATCCTATGATCAGGAACGTTTAGGATGTGTCAACGAAAGAATGCTCTCATGAATCTAACTTTTTTAGATCGCATTCTTCCAATCACATATTCCTTGGACTTATCGTTTAAGCATATAACATTTATATGAGACGGCTCAAACAATAATCTTTGCCCTTTACATTTAAACTACATTAGTTTAACTTTCTGAAATGTCCGTAAAGTATCATCATATGATTGGTTTTAGGGCACATTTCCAACATATGCTTGTCTGGGGACCTGGTATTTATAGACTTCCAAAGCCATGCCTTTGGATGGATTTGGCCTTGATTTGTGTCTTGATTCGTCCATGGGAGAATTTAGGCATGTTTTGTGTCTTAATTTCAACTACTTTCCCTTGTTTGGCCGAAATCTTTAAGGCTTGTTGCCTATTTTGTGAGCAATATTCAATTCTTACTTGTTTTGTGAAGATGCATTAGCTTTCTTTCCGGTTTTGGGAGCAATTTAGACCCTTTGCCGATTTTAAGGGATATTTCCCCTTTTTTGCCAAATTCAGAGGAAGTTTTGAGCTTCATTTCCTTGATTTGTGCCACATGTCAATGATGACTTGTCCATTTGTGATGAGTCATATGTCACGTGAAGCTTTGTGATGCATCATTTGTATGCAACAAAATTTACATGTCTACATCGTCTCTAGAAATTTTGGGATTATTTTAAGCTTCACATTATCCTTTCTTTCTAATCTTAGCACCTTTTAGAACTTTGAATATAACTACAATTTTGTGAGCCAATTTTATAAGTAGTCCATTTTATTTGTTACGATTGAAAAAGGTTCGATGAGTCCCTCATCTTTATTTCGATACCAAATTTATCTTACAAGTATTTAATCTCTTGATTTCAAGCTTATTTTTCAATTTTTTTTAAACATTTAAAGAATAAAATATCCTAAATCATAGGATTAAATGTAAAAATGTAATCTCCTAAATCATTGCAACGTCGATGGATTCGCAGTGGCCTTGGAAGCAAAAAATTCCAAGGCTCCCATTGTCTACATATGTACAAGGATTGATATTTCAAGTCAATTGGGGCTATTCATCTCCTAATTCTTTTTCTTTTTTTGTCTTTTCCTTCTTGGTTCCTAATTATGTAGAAAAATATGTCTGAATGAATATTTCATTGTTATGGGAATACAATATATATACAATGACATTCCTTGTATGACAAGAAGACTTCCTACAAGTTAGGGATACACTTATAATTACAATTTAACTCTAACTGATTTTCTAATTGTCTAACACTTCCCCTCAAGTTGGAGAGTGTATGTCAAGAACTCCCAACTTGCGTAACATGCTCGAAAATTTCTCCTTCCCGAGAGGCTTTGTAAACATGTCTGCCATTTGTTGTGTTGTATCAACATGTCTAGTAGCTATTGTGCCATCAACAGTTTTATCACGTATAAAATGACAATCCATCTCAACGTGGCGAGTGCGTTCATGAAAAACGAGATTGACGGCTATATGCAATGCCGCTTGATTGTCGCAAAATAAAAGAGATGGACCAGTTAAATGAACGTTCAAATCCTCCAATAGAAAACATAACCAAATCACTTCACAACAAAGCTCCACCCATAGCTTTATACTTCGCTCCAGCAGAATAGATCAAAACCGTTTTCTATCGTTTTGTTCGCCATGAAATCAAAGAATTTCCCAAGAACACACAATAACCTGTGGTCGAGCGTCAAGCAATAGCCAACCCAATCAGGATCACAAAAAATCGTTAACTTCATTTGGTTATCCGAACGGAATAATAAACCTCAACTCGGAGTAGATTTTAAATAAGAAACAACCCGTAATACGACATCCATATGTGGAAGCCATGGCTCATGCATGAAACGACTTATAACATGTATAGGGTAGGTAATATCTGGTCGGGTTATTGTGAGATAAATGATTCTTCCTACAAGACGTCGATATTTTTTCAGATCCTTTAGGAAAAGAAACAGGGCGTGCTCCCAAGAAACCATAATCTTTGAGAATCTCCAATGCATATTTACGCTGAGAAATATAAATGCCATTTTTGGATCGAGAGATCTCAATTTGAAGTATTAATTTTAATATATGTAATATTTATTATAATTTGTTATATTTTAATTGTCATGTTCTAACTGTATCCGTGTCCTATTTTTTTAAATTTGCCGTGTAACAGTATGGTCGTGTTGCGTGTCACCGTATCCGTGTCCATGTCGGTGCAACTTAGGCTACCATGACTACGACGTCAAGCCCAGTTTCTGTCTAATTAAATCTCGCGGTTCTTCCTCACTGCTTCCTCCCCAACGTTGAGTTTCCTCCCTGCCATGACCACCAAGTAGGTTCCGCAAGCTCGACCTCTCTGTCTTCGACACTCACTGTAGCTCCGCCCTAACTCACCTTCCTCCATTTTTTCTCCAACACACGAGAGATTTTTTAGTGTGATCGAAATACGGAGTGATACAACACGTGTCTCTGTACAAATGGTGGGATATGAGTGTTATAAAGTTAATACCTTAAAAAGTAAAATTTTTCACTACTTATATAAAAACACATGGTATATCATCTGTGGCCACACTAGAATTATTCTTCACCCTGCTGGAAAATTTGATCAGAAGTCCTCGCACAAAATTATAAATTACAACTGAAAAAGTTTGGAGACAAAAGGAAGAAGATGTTGATGAAGAAGCAAGTCCAGCAGCTATCCAATGCCAGAAATGATATCAGAGATAAAACCCAAACGGAAAAATTTGAAATATTTAGAAGAAAACCCAATACAACTCAACAGTCATTTAATTCACATAGGAGTTAAAGAAGTTAAGTTGATAATCTTATGTTCTAATTGTACCTATTTCTTCCTCCTCCTCCTCCTCCTTCTTCTTCTTCTTTTTGAATACCCAGAAGCCAAAAGTTGAAGCTTTTTAAGAATAGAGAGAAAGGTAAAAAAAAGGCAGAGAGAGAGAGGCAAAAACGCATGTATATAGCTGTTTTGATAAACTTGTATAGCTGTTTTGACTTTAGAGTAATTGCTAGCATGACTCTCTCTCTCTTCCCCGTCTTCTTCTCCAAAGAACCAAAAGCAAATTTCTCTCTCCTATGCTATCCCATTTCCGATTAAACTCTCTATCCGAAAATGCATATCCGATTAAACTCTCTAGCGGATCTGACTCTGCCTCCCTGCGAGAAGGTCTATGACTTTTGAAAGAGCCTAGCGGATCTGAATCTGCCTCCTCGCCCGAAACAGCTTAGCGAAATTCCGTCCACAGTGTCCGTAGTGTGTCCAAATGTGTCTTGACCATGTACAACTCGAGTCAAGAGCGTGTTCGAGACGTATCGGCGTGTCCGAGTGTCCTACACTCCGACACATCTAGACAATGAGAATACAGATGGGTTTAGAAAAAGAGTCCAAACACATCTAGACAATGAGAACGCAGATGGGTTTCGAAAAAGAGTACAACTTAGTCACTAAGGCTATATTAGTACTTTCATATCAATTTTTTGTTATACAAATTTTAGTTAGTTTTCCAAATTTTTATAAAATGAGAGAGTCTGAGAGAGGAGCAGAGACTCAGTGAGAAATTTTTTATAGAATGGCAAGGGTGGAGAAAAGGAAAGATGAGAGAATTCTGACAAGGCTGGCAGATGAGTTCGAACAACTGGCCGCTCAGCTGAACTCTCCGGCACCATTCACCATGGAAATTGGCAATTTCACCCAAGCCTGTCGTCTCGTTTCTCCTCTCATTCGATACTTAGGCGTCGCTATGAAGTTCGCCGACATAGAGTACTCTGATAAGGTATTATTCATCTATTAAACTTGAGAGTTTGATGCTTTTTGGTGATGGGGAGATTTGGGTTGCAAACTTGTCATTGTCTTCTACATTTGAATCAAATTTCAAAAGTTTGATATAAAACTTGGGTGTTCTTTAGGGTTTGGTGGCTTGTGACTGATGAGTGCTTTGATTTCTTTGGTGCATTTGACTCATGGGAAGTATACACATGATTAAATCAGTTACTCATTTTTAAATAAACAGCAAAACTAGAGGATACTATGACCTGGTTTGGTAGTGAAGTGATTCTGAAAAAAGCTGGTATCAAAAAAAGCTGGGAGCTGTTTTTGTGTTTGGTAAACATTCAGCTTCAGTTTTTTTTCATAGTTTTGAATGAAAAAAAGCCAAAAACAAGAAGCTGCAAAACCCAGCTTTAAAAAACCATCTTTTTTTCACATCTGTTTTACATAAAAGTTTACCAAACACTAGAATACTGCTTTTTTTTTTTTTCAAAAGCACTTTTACAAAAAAATTTACCAAACACATTTCACAGCTGCCTATTCTTACAGCACACCAGAAGCGCTTGTTTTCAAAGCACAACAATACCAAACCAGCCCTATATAAACAATAAAAAGGGACCAAATTTTATTTTACATAAGTCCTTATCGTTTATTCAGCGTTTCTCAACTTTATAATTGATTTGCTCATAAGTCCTTTTGATTTAATGGATGGGAAGGATATCTAACTTTTTTTGTTATTGATTTTTTTTTTTTTAAATTTATAGTGATGAAGTTTTTATTCATTGCGTTAAAATAATAAAAGGAAGGAAAAAATACTAAATAAAAAACTCAATTATATAAATTACTAAATATTTCTTATTATTCTTATGTATGGTGATGCATGAGATGTAAAAATGAAAATATACTACTTTTTTTCACATCTTCTGGTGAGGGTGAGTAATTTCAATATTGAAATTCCGGTGCATTGAATTTGGAAGAGACTTTAAGAAAAAATTTGGAGTATTTGGATCTAATGAAAGACATGGCACATAACCGAGCTCAATGATATTTAAGGATTCATACAATTGACCTCACTTAATGAGAAAGGGCTTTGTTGTTGTTGTATACTTCCCTTTGATGTAAGTGTTTCTTTGTTTTTTTTTTTTTTAATTATATTTTGATTAATGTGGTGGTTGCCAGATTAGTGGGATTGAAAAGGCAGGAAAGTCAGTTAATACCCTAGAAGATTTGCTTGATAGTGAAATACAACAGAATACTATTAAGCACCAAAGTAGTGCTTCGAGATTCCTCATCAGAGTGAAGCGTTCACTTGAGATGCTTAAGATAATATTCGAGCAAATTATGGCCTCAAGGTTTTACTTATCTCAAACCTAGCCTCGATCTTCTCTGAATTCACTACTTCATTAACACGTTGAAGATCATTTTCGTTAGCAAATGCAATTTCATGCTGCTACATCCACTCATATGTTCTATTTTCTCATATCCACATAATTTATTTTTCCGTTGATCATGATTTTTTTAAATATTTAATATTCATTAAGTGCTTTTAAAAAAACTAAAAGCGCTTTTAATAAAGATGTTTTTGAGTTTCAAGAGCGCTTAAAAGTGCTTATTGCAAGAAGTATCAATTATGTGATTTTTGCAAGAAGCACTTCAATTGTTTTTTTTTTTCTTTTCATAATTCACTTGCATTTTAACTAAGGATTGATTTTAAAAGTACTCTCATCAAACGTACTTTCAATTATTTTAAAAGCACTTACAAACGAGCTCAGTGACTCTTCTCATTCTAAACTCGTGATATCCATTATACCATGACTTAATTATTCTACTTAAGGCACATAATTATTTATTGACTAATCTTTGAATTAATTATTCACAAAAGAACAAACCCTAAATCAATGACTGCTCATCTCTAATTTTTGTATGTCTCTATAATTTGGCAGCTAGCTGTTATTTTACTATCACAGATTCACAGTTACTTATAACTTGAATTTCTTTTTCTTTTCTTTTTTAACTTGGGCAGCGAAATTTCAATCATGGATGCGGTTAACACAGCATATAAACAAGTTTTTTACCCCTACCACGGATGGGCCATCAGAAAGGCTGTTGGTGGTGCACTGCTAACCGTTCCCACAAGGTCACTGTTCTTCATAAAGCTAAAAGTAGATGGTAAGACTATTCTAGTATGTAACTCATCGTTGTCATACTATCTGCTTGCAAACCAGGCTTCTAGCAGACTAGCTCATATCTATTGACATTAGGCTAGAGATTTGGGATTGATCGGTTTGACTGCTCATGGTAGCGGTAGCTACCGTGGCCGGTCGCAGGTTCTTTCTTTCATATCCAATATATAGAGAAGAAAAAAATTCCTAGGTTGTGATACTGAGCATAATTGAAATGAATTTAGTATGACTGCTAATAATATATGTACATGGGTATTTTAGGGTTGGACTTGATATTGGTAACACAGTTTGTTTGTTATTCCATTTTATCAGAGGCATCGGCTTTTGTTCAGATGCAAAGGACAATTATTGCATTGGCTCATCTGATACACTACATCGACAACTTATTCCATTCAAGGGAGTCAGCTCAAGAGCTGCTAAGCTTGATTTGATCGATTTCCGTCTTTTGCACGTACGCATGCATTTTTACAAATATGCTTTGATTTCCGTATTTCATATGTATGATATGTTTGAACATCAGTGTGAACCTTATAAGGATTGTTATTCGATTTGGTTATAATTATGATAATTTTCCTTTTTCCAATGCCTGCCGTTCTATACTTCGTGTATTGTTGGTGAACTTTTTTGAACTAGAAGATCTGGACGGTTCGAAGCGTGGTAAAAAGTCAAAAGATGCGCCAGTAATGTCACTTTTTCATTAAGTATTTAATGAGAGGGAAAGAGTTCAGCAAGGAGCAGTACAAGTCAAAGAGAGCGGCTCCAATAATGAAGGGAGTAAAGCTAATCTACCTAACTTTGACACTGACTGCTGACTTTGCTTTGCTTTTATGTTCAATACTCCCTCACAAGCTGCATCAAGTGGGTTAACGAATCCAAGCATGCTAAGAGCAAGTCCAGCGTGGGTTCCAGCTCGATGGACCGGTTTCATTTCCTACCCAATAATCTCAGCTCCTTGCTTCAGCCCACGTGGACGATTGGGTTGAGGGGGCTCAAGTGAGAGGCCCGGCTCGAATTGGTGGCCTGAGAGCCTAAGGCCAAATGATGCATGGTTGACGTTAAGATAACGTCAGTCACATTAAAAAAATATAAAAAATTAATAAAAAAATGTAAAAAATTAATTTAAAAAATGTAAAAAATTAATAGAAAATTAAAAAAAATGTAAACAATTAATAAAAAATCCGAAAAAAATTTAAAAATTAAAAAAAAAAAAGATTTAATTTTTCTATAAATATCTTATCATTATCTTCCACCTTGCACCACAATTTTATATTTTCTCAAATACTTTGAGTTGTAATTTCTTATTTAATGAAATGTGGTACAACGAGACCGATTACAAATCATATCCGAAATTTGAAATAAAATTATTCTTTATTATTTTATAAAATAAAATATACTAATATTTTATTGCATATTGCCATGGCTATTCAGTTTAGGGGGTGGAAATGCAAAAGGCAATTATTGTTCATTAAAGGCAATTACTGTTCATTAGAGGTTATTCAATAGGAAGTTGCCCTAGAGGTTCTTGATACGCTGGAGTTTCTCTAAGTAGACGCTAAAAATGAGAAATGGCCAAGGCTCTGGTAAACAAATCGGCAATTTGATCGTGGTTGTGAGTGTAGACTGTCTGAATAACCTTGGACTGAACTTGTTTCCTAATGTGGTGGCAATCCACCTCAATGTGTTTTGTTCATTCATGAAACACTGGATTAGCTGCAATATGCATGGCGGCTTGATTATCACACATAAGAGACAATGGTTCTCTGCTAGAAAATCCCAAATCTGATAAGAGACTTTTGAGCCGAATGAGTTCACATGCAGTGGAAGACATTGCTCGATATTTTGGTTTGGCACTCGATCGAGCGATAACCTATTGTTTTGCACTCTTCCAAGTGACAATATTGCCCCCAACAAAAGTACATTACCCTATAGTGGATTTTAGATCAAGAGCATTTCCTACCAATCAGCATCTGTGTAGGCAGATATCTTGGTAAAATGGTTATTGCGCATAAGAATACCATGACCAATGAAACCCTTGAGATAACGCAATATCCGTTTTACAATAAGGAGATGTTTCACAGTGGAGGAATGCATGAATTGGCTAACAAGATGTACTGCATATGTGATATCAGAACAGTAATAGTAAAGTTAATGAGTTTGCCTACTAACCTTTGATAATAACTCACATTGGCAAGTAACTGTCCATCTAATTCAAGTTTTAACTTGCAATCAAGGGGCGTCGTGGCTGCTTTGTAGTCGAGCATGTCAGCTTCTTGAAGTAAATCAATCACATATTTTCTTTGGTTCAAGAACAGCACTTTATGGGATACGCTAACTGCTGACTTTGCTCTGCTTTTATGTTCAATAAAAAGTCATATTTTCTTAATTCAATTCATGCGGCTTGCACCTTTCAAATATTAGCCCACACTCCTTTTAAAACTATTGCCTCCGCCCTTATAAAATGACAAGTGCTACGTCAGTGCAAGGCATCTTTTCAGTTTTCAGACTTTTGTGTTCATTTTGTCCTTGATAATTAAAAAAAAATGAAATGCTAAGAAAACTCTCTTAAATTATAACTCTTCTTAGATTATTTGTCACTTCGTATTTATGGCATAATATTTTATAATGTTAGTATAGAAATTGTGCCAAAAATATGAGATGACGGAGAATTCATAAAGAGTCCCACTTTTAAGAGAGTAACCTTAATATTTCTCTTAAAAAATGTAGGAGTACTTGTATATTGTTTAAATACATCAAGGCACACCTGGAACTGTCCTTGACCTTTGTGCTTTTATTGACATTAAAAAAAAAAAAAAAAAAAAAAAAAAAGAAAACCGCACCGGAACAACCAATCAAAACAAGGACGAAGGCAGAGACCGGGGGAAGCCCTCAACAATCCAAGCCGATAGGCAAGTTTTGCATGCACCCCTCGGGGACTATGTGGCGTCCTGAGCCAATATAGATTGATATTTGTAAATCTCTTTATATAGTATCATGTTGTTGGTTCAGAATATTAGTACAGCGACGAACTCGGTACAGATAAGTTCTTCTTTTCAATTACGAGTGATGAATGCGAAAGAAATATGGGGCTACTTGTTTGAGAGGAGCATTTGTTCTTCCTGTTGCATATTTTTCCACCAAAATCTATGTCGTGTGAAAGGTAGTCATGTCAATGCAATTCCAAGCTCCTTTAAATCATCATATGTAAACTAGTGAGCTACTCACGGGACAAACACTCATTCACTCATATTCGTGGATTAATGTGTTTTGCTCAGGTGATCTCATTATACATGCCGCCATATACTTGCTGTCCACCTAACTCGATATCAATGATGTTGGAACCAAATTCGTGTACCCTGTAAGCGGCGGTTGAGCACAAACTTGAGCAACTTGCAAAACAACAAAAAACCGTGAACAAGCCTAAGATCGGGAGGTGTGTCGGCCAAAGGCTTTAAGACGGTCAAGGTAGTGGATGAAATGACACTCAAGCAGTGGGTTAGAGAATTATAGCGTTTATATTGCGTTATTTACACCATGGGAGAGAGACCTTTTTAGGATAGAATTCTCTTTCTAAGTCAGGAGAATCATGGAGGATATCTAGTAAGTAGATATTGTTTCCTCTTAGGAGTTGTGATTATTTGCGGCACATGCATATCCCTAAATTGTAGGAACTCCAAGACTTATAGGATCAGATTGTGTCCAATTCCAAATCAGATCGCTTGTCTTGTAGAACAAACGTGGTCAACCACTGGAGTCATTTGGACTCTGTCTAGTGCCCCGAAGTAGAGTGATGGTGGCACCCTGCTCCGTCTGATTCAGCTCTGCCCAGATCTGGTGAATCCATAATCGAACTTCTAAGGTAACAGTATTCGGATCAGCCATACTTCAATCCTGGAAAATCATGGTCCAAAAAATGACAAGTAACAACTCAGATCAAAGGACTTCAACAAGGTTGTAATGAGGTTGAGGTTAAATGGCTATACAATAAAAGGTATGGAAAACAAAGTCTAAGGAAAACGTAGAGCAATGGAAAATTTCTTCACAATAGAGAGATCCAACTGCATTGTAGAAACCTCGAAGCACTTAGAACACAAGAACATCACCTTTTTTCGTGTGTGTGTGTGTGTGTGTGTATTTTTTTGAATTTCATAGCACGACTTTTACTCTCTTTTTTACCTTTTTTTCTTAACAGAATTTTTTTATCACCACATTCATCCTTCATGGCACAAATAATTTAGCGCGTTATACGTACGATGTGTTGTGTATGTGCACTACAAGAAAACGAAAATAGCCACGGTGGATGTTGTTGGGAACTTGGGATGGTTATACCAAAGCGTGGCAATTTAAAAAAGTAACCATGGCCAATGTTGTGTAGTATTGTGAAGTTCCATACGAATGAACAGAAAAATATTGAAACACAATTGTTTAGGGAGAGGGAAAGAGCTCAGCAAGGAGCTGTACAAGTCAAAGAGAGCGGCTGCAATAATGAAGGGAGTAAAGCTCATCTACATAACTTCGACACTAACTGCTGACTTTGCTTTGCCCTTATGTTCAATAATGTTGAGAGTTGATTGTGTGGGTGAGAGTTTGTAGTTTGTACCACATTGGTGGTGAGGGACAAGTCTATTTAAGGACTTACATAATTTTGGGGTTTTTTTATATTGTCAATTAGCTTTATGATAGAATTCTAATTTCATCATGGTATCAAAACAGGTTGTCTATACTTTGAAAGTCCAAAGGGTCACAATAGTACTCATACATTTTTTTTAAGGAAAATGTTTAGGTGACTCTCTCAAAAGTATGACTCTTTATGAACTCTCCGCCACCTCATGTTTTTAACACAATTCTCGTGCTAACATTATAAAATATTTTACTACAAATATAAGATGATAAAGAATCTATAAAGAGTTATACTTTAAGAAAATCTTGTTAGCATATCTCTTTTTTAATTATCAAGGAGAAAACTGAACACAAAAGTCTAAAAACTGAAAAGATGCCTTGCACTGACGTAGCAGTTGTCATTATATAAGGGCGGAGGCAAGAATTTTAAAAGGAGTGTGGGCTAATATTTGTTAAAAAAAAAAAAAAAAAAAAAAAAAAAAGAGGAAATATATATGGACACTGAAGGGACGCCTAAATTTGAATTGTAAAACTTGAAAGGTGCAAGTGGCATGAATTGAATTAAGAAAATATGACTTGTGTATATGGTAACACAATATTTATACATTTTTATTGCCCATATTGCCTAAGTTTTGTGCTATGTTTTTTTGTGAAATTGGTTGTTTGATGTGTCTAGTGCGTATTTTGTAGATAATGGACCGTAGAGAAGACTTTGGAGTCTTTTGGTGATTTCCAGACTAAAAAGGATCAAAGCTGAGAAGAACTGAAGTCAAGAAGTATTCCAACGATTATTAGATGCTAATTTGTTCAATCCACAATTTAATGGCTGCTATTTGGAAATTATAAATGGAGCTGGAGGGTGCTGCGCAGAACTGTCATATTCGTTGGGACATTACAAATTCATCAGGACGAATTGGGTGTTGTACTACATATGTATGAAAAGCTCTGGATGTTTGGTTTTGGCAG